CAGGCAGGTAGGCAGGCAGCTGAAAAAAACCCCCTCTGGGGTCCTTGGGTCCTTCCTGGGTCTGTTGTCGCGCAGGCCGGGAGCTCCCGCGCAGGCCGGGAGCTCACGCGCGCGCCGCCGGGTGATCGCCAAAATGTTTCTTACATAGAAATATTTCAGTGACAAAGATTGCATACAGTCAAGCTTGCAGTCACACTTTGTCTCCTTTGTGTGTTTGTCAGAGATCACTTTCATACATGTGAGGATTCTCTGGACTCTGTTTTATTTCAGTGATTTGTTTGTCCCTTCACACGGGCACTATGCCATTTTGAGTACTAATATGCCTAGACATCAGTTAGGGCCAGTCCTCAAACCATATTCATGTTAATTTTCATTTTAGTTCTTCTGTGTCCTTTGGAATTTCCATGTGGCTTTTAAAACTAGTCTCTTAAATACTTTTTTTCAATTTTTACAAAAAATGTCTACTGGAACATTGGGAATTACTGTATTGAGGAGATGTAAGGAGAGTATAAATTCCTTTCTTGTTCTCTTCTTGATTGTAAAGAAACTTTGTTTTTTCACTACTTATATAAATTTTTCATAGAAGCCCTTTAAAATCAGATTTAGAGTTTCCTTTGGTTTTCAGTTTGTTGAGAATTTTTTTAAAATCAGAAATGGTTTTGGATTTCTTCATAAGATTTTGTGCATCTAGTTATTATTTATTTTTATTTATTAATATGTTGAATAGTATCACTTGCTTTTTCATGTTAAATCGTTCTTATACTTTTGGGATAAACCTTATTTGATCACAGTATATGATTTCTTTGTATTACCAAAGTAACTAGAAGATGTTCGTGATCATTCTTGGGTGATTAAAAAGGTCACACATGGTATTGCTTAAAGCTGGGTGCCAATTCCATTTTATTTAATGATTTAAAAATAACCCCATGAACACACAGGAGTTGCGCCTACTAATAGAATGCAGTGTGATATTTCAGTGCACGGATGTGATACACATGGTTCAAACCAGGTAGTTAACATTAGCATCTCCTATCGCTACTTTGTATTTGAACCCTTTGGGCTCCTCTCTTCTGGTTATCCATAAAATACGTAATCAGTTCTTGTGAATCTTCAGGGAGGTTTGCCTTCTGGGTCATTTAAAAATCTGGTAGAAGGAGAAGAACCGACAGGAGACAGAGCAAGCAGAAGCAAGGCAGAGGCGGAGAAGAGCGTGAGGTTCGCTCCTCACAAACCCATCCTGCAGGCGTGGGTTCGCTTTGATTCAGTGCAGCGGCTGCTCTCCCGAGAGCTGGGGGACCACAGATCAGAGCACGATGAGTCCGGAGGCCCGTGGGTTCTGCTTATTTGAAATAGCTCTCCCCTCCTCTCGGAAAAAATTTCGTGCTCCTCCTTTGCCTTGCTGGGCACTATTTTATTGCTTCCTTAGGTCTCAGGGTTCCGAGGGCGTTGTCATATTCTCTCAGAAGAGAGAAGTGCGTTCGGCCTCACGACTTCAAATACTTAAACTGTTGGAACAATGTCGTTTCTTCCTCGCGACTCAGCTTCCGTGGCTCAGTAAGCCCCTCCGCGCCTGTGTCTGCTGCTCGGCCTCCCTCCGTCCTCCGGCCCGTCACTTCCGGTTCCTGGAGAAAGTCTAACTCCTCCCACAGACATGTCCACCCTGTGCCCTCTCCCGCATCGTGTCCACCGTGTGTCTCCTCACTGTGGAGAAGCTAGGAGCGCGACCAGGCTGCCTTATTTCCCTCTAACTCATGCTAGGCACCCAAACATCTTTGTTAATGGGCTAAATAAATTAATATTTATCGGCACCTTATACATTAGGTTTTACAGGGTATTCCTATCCAGTGTGCACCAGTTACCGGTCCTTTCTGAAATCTCCTCATGCTTATGTTAGTTCCAGGTAGAAGACAGAGGTCTCGCTTAGTTTATTATTAAAACCATGAATTGGTTTTTCTTGGGCATGACTTCCACGACCAAGAATAGTGCAAAATTTACTCACCTGCACTTTGCATCAACTCTCTACACTTTTTAAATTAATGATATTAATTACTGAATAAGCACTGCCTCTAGTATTGTGTTAAATATCTTGCAAAATTATTTTTATTTTTCTTTCTCTGGTCTTTCTAGCAGTGCCCTGAGGTCATGGGCTGTGGGTTATCCATTCTTTCAGTCCCTCCGCCAGATACAGAGACTGCTAAATCAAAGGTGCTCAGTAGATGTCTGTGGAAAATGCCAAATTGGAGAATGATTCAGGACAGTGTAAGACTCTAGGTACACATTTCTGCCTTTCCTCTGTGAAGATTTGTCAGTTTTCATAGAACCCTATGATTCACTTTTTAAAAATCAGCTGTCTTCTCTCTCAATCCTAATTCTAATTCATGTCCTCAGGCGAACTTGAATTTGTGTACAGTCCATTTCTGGACAAACCAGCCTTCCTGTTACTACAGATGGAACTTTTCCTTTCAGCCTCCCGTGGAGTCTGTCAGGAGCAACAGTGGACCAGGACAGGCCTACCAGGATAGAGGCCAGTTTAAAACAGTTCTCCTGGGCATAACCTGGGTGTTTCCAAAACACGGTGCCTGACTCACCAGAGTCACCGGAGAGACTGGTTCAGGAGATCCAAAGTGGATTTGGGAAGAAAGCAGTAAGACCTGGTTTGTAGCTTACTTACTGGCCTCAGAATCCACAGAGTTTGAACCATGCTTAAAGCCCCCTTGCAACTGACCCCGCTTATTGATGAGTAACCTGTCCGTACTGAGCAGCGGCTGCACCAGCAGGGTGCGGGGCCTCAGGGACCCAGAGCTGACACCTCTGTGGGATGAGGGGGCCCACATCCACTCAGTGCTCCGTGTGGGTCATGCATGTCCCGCGTGGACTGACCAGGCCATGACAAGGCCTGCCACTGCCCTGTCCTTGTGCATGTGGGTGTCCCGGGTCCTTTTTTAAAGCTCGGCGAGATGACTCAGGTGCATTTGATGACTTTGTTTGTGGTCTGAACCCAAGATCACTGCAGCCAGCCAAATAGAAAAGGCAAGGTAGGGTCTGAGACTGTGTATTTTGAAAAAATCCACCAGATAATTCTGCTGCCAAGCCTCCATTGTTTCTACACACACCTCTGTGGCTTTTCATTGAAATAATGGAAGCCATCTGGAATCATACTTCCCAAAACACATTCTGAAGAACGCTAAACTCATGAACCACTTTGTGACAAATTAGGTTCTATATTATTGAAGTTTAGTTTTGAGAAATGCTGCAATCCATATTGCCTTAAATTTTTTTTTTTTTTTTTTTTTTTTTTTTTTTTTTTTTTTTTTTTTTTTTTTTTTTTTTTTTGGTACTGGGGATCGAACTTGGGTCCTTGCACTTGTGAAGCAGGCCACTGAACTGCTGAGCTAAATCCCCAGCCCCCAAATTTTTTATTTTATTAGTAAGTGTTTGAAGTGCCTGAAGTTTACGTTCATCTTAGGATGTAGGAGCAGGAATACAACATAGCTTGATTCTTTCTTAATTCTCTTCCTTTCCCCCACTACCCACCTCCCTCTGTCTCTAGATCCTCTTTCTCCATTTTCATTATTGCTATTAGTTTTAGTTCATGTTTGTGAATATGATTTTCACATTCATTGTGGGTGCCTGGTACATCTTTTCACTTCCCTTTCCGTTTGACCCCTTCCCTTACTCTTTCGTCTGCTGGACCTCTTCCTATTTGTTTCCTTCCATCAGTTCTTTATTTTGCTTTTTATGTGTACTTTGCCTCACTGAAAAGAGAGATAAGTATGTGGTAAGGCTCTGATGTGTTGTCTAGTTAATAACGTTTTGCTCCATTTCATTCATCCTTGCCCCAAATTATTTAAAAGTAGAAGTACAGTATTCATTTTTACAGCAATCAAACATCTCGCTAAACAGAAGCAAATTTGGGGAAAAACCTAGATGAACAGAGGATTAATAATAGCTATAATTCAAAGCTTCAAAAGCTAGACTATAAGTACTGCTTATTGTTTAAGTTATAAACAATTTGTGTGAAATTTGCACTCACATAGATTGTAATGAAGATGAATGTCATTTTGACTTACCACAGGGTTAGAGGATCTTGTTTCTAAGACCAGAGTCATGTAGAGAAGCACGAAGCCCTCAAAGATTAGAATAGGAGGAAAATATCTGACGGCTTATGAAACTTAAACCATCACGCTATGCCATTCGGTTACGCAGATCAAGGAGTTCAGATGTCCATGGCATCAAAAGGAGGAATCCTGTCTTTTATGGATGAGCTTCCTCAGGGCACCTTTCACATCCTTGTTCCTCAGACTGTAGATGAAGGGGTTCAACATGGGCGTCACCACGGTGAAGAGCACCGCGCCAATCTTATCGGTGTCCTCTGGGTGCGTGGACGAGGGGAAGAAGTAAACTCCTACGATGGTCCCGTAGAAGAGCAGCACGACAGTCAGGTGAGAGCCGCAGGTGGAGAAGGCTTTCCACTTTCCTCCTAAGGTGGAGATTCTCAGCACATCCCTGATGATGCAGATGTAGGAGAAAAGGATGACGGCGAAGGGAAAGGTGACGACCGCTAAGCCCACAGAAAGGAGCACCAGCTCACTGACCGCTGCGTCAGAGCAGGACAGCTTGAGCAGGGGGGCCAAGTCACAGAAGAAGTGTGGGAGAGTATTGCTGTCACAGAAGACCACCTGGATGAGCAGAAGGGTGTGCGTCAGGGCAACAGCATTACTGAGGACCCATGGGATGACGGTGAGCAAAGTGCAAAGTGCGGGGCGCATGATGGTCGTGTAGTTCAGCGGGTGGCAGACAGCCACGAAGCGGTCGTAGGCCATGACCCCCAAGAGGAAATTGTTGGCGACAGTACAGACAATGGAAAAGTACATCTGTGTGATGCAGCCACTGTAGGAGATGGACTGACTCTTGGTCTGAATATTCGCCAGCATTTTGGGGATGGAGGTAGAAGAGGAGGACATGTCAGCAAGGGACAAGTTGGCAAGGAAGAGGTACATGGGCGTGTGAAGGTGCGTGTCAAAGCCAATGGCCAGAATGATGAGCCCATTCCCAGCCACGGTGACCAGGTACATAGCCAGGAAGAGCGCGAAGAGGAGTTTCTGCTTCTCCACCTGGTCAGAAAGCCCCAGAAGGATGAACTCGGAGATGGTGGTCTGGTTTCCTCGATGCATGTTTCTGTTAACCCTGAAGAAAGGGACACAAGTCTTTGTATTTTCATAAGGAAAGCCAGAAGAGGACTTTTCAGCTACAGCTATTTAAGGGGGCACTTCCTCTGCAGGGAAGGGAGTGAATCCCTTCAATTTAACAAGTAGAAGGATACTTAAGAAGGAGCTTCCTGGTCAGCGCAGTCAGGAAATACCTTAGAGAAAAGCCAGGCCATGATATCCACTTCTCAGTGAACACGATTAGAACTCTAACAGGCTCTGAGTTGGATTTTTTCAGTTCGTGCTATGTTGTTTAGATCCACTATCGATGAAGAGTATTCCACATTCATTCTGAAGATGCTAGCTACGCCTGCAAAATTTTTAAAAATGAGAAAATGGTGGACATGGAGAAAAGCAGACAGCATTGCACGACAGCCACACTGTTCATAACTCTAAGAAGGATGGCATGTGAAGGGCGATGAAAGTGAGGAGTCCGGGGAAGTTGAAGCAATGGACAGGACGGTGTGGGCAGGGAAATCCGCCTTCACGGCAGCCAGGCAGGTTATAGGTGCACTTCCTGCAGGCTGGGTGCAGACTGCAGGGGTCACTGAGCTCAAGCTGCCCCCTGAGGCTCCAGCCTGAAAGGGGCTGCTGGATGGCGAAGGCTGTCACAGGTGGAGCCCATGGAGTGGCTCTGTTAGGGGAGAAATCTATCTCTCTCTCTCTCTCTCTCTCTCTCTCTCTCTCTCTCTCTCT